GGCCTCTTGGGCTTGCCGATCTGAAGGTCAGCAGTTCAAATCTGCAAGACGGGGTGAGTTTCCGTTGCTCTGCCCCAGCTCCTGCCAACCTAGCAGTTTGAAAGCATACCAGTGCAAGTAGATAAATAGGTACCACTGTGGTGGGAAGGTAAATGGCGTTCCCATGCACTCTGGCTTCAGTCATGGTGTACCATTGTGCCAGAAGCGGTTTAGTCATGCTGGCCACATGACCAGGAAAGCCAGCTGTGGACAAACACTGGCTCCCTCGGTCTGAAGTGAGATGAGCACCGCCCCCCATAGTCATCTTTGACTGGACTTAACCATCCAGGGGTCCTTTACCTTTACCTTACTCTTCTCCAGTGTATTAAGCATCATACACGTGCACTAATGACTAGTTAGTGTGTTGCCAAGCTAAAATATTGAGCTTCCTAAATTACGCACTCTCTTACGTAAGCTAAGGCAACAGCTTTTTAGCTTGAAGACTTAATGAACAGTTTTCAGGCATGTGTTATGATTATTACACAAATGTAACAGAATACTATCTTCTCTAATTAATCTGTAGCTCCAGTGTATCACTGTGGATATTAGATGGGGAAGAAAATATTAAGAACTCAGAATATGGAGTAAGTGGCTTGAGTACTTTACAAGAACATACATTAAAAGGGCAAATATTCTGAAAATAAGAATAAAATTGCTCATAGTTCTATCTCAATGTAGAAGTCTTCCCATAAAATCTTTGATCTTTTATGTTTCCTGATTATCCTAAACTAAGAATATAACTGAATATCAATGGAGTAATTTGGGGTATGCTCAAACCTTTGACATTTCCAGTTAATGGATCTGCAGTAGCACTCACCAGGCAATCATTGATGAAAAGGCCTGCAGGACTGTATAGTTATCTCCACCCTTCATTGACATACTTCATGTTGTCAGCCCTCCCAAGCTGGCATGCGGTTGCCCGGGTCTGAAGGGTACCATGATGATGCAAATGGCTTTCCAACATGGGGATAGGACCTTCCATGTGTTTGTGACTCTGCAGAGCTACTGCTGGTCAGAGTAGATAGCTGCTATGAAACTTGGTAGACATATGGCACTCAATTTTGGAAGGATGAAGTCAGTTTCTTTCTAGAAATACTTTCTTACTTCTATCCAGTACTTAATCTGGACTATTGACTAGATTCTGAGATCCAGTCCGAACTCAGAAATGGAACTTGATTCAGTCTTGGAACTTAATCCAGCCTAGTATCCCAAATGGAGTGACCATTTGACTTCATCTCATGTCTGTAGATGCCACTGATAGCAGGTCAGCAAGCCGTAAGGCACAGGAGGTCTTCCTGTACTCTGGTCCTGACCCATCAGTGTGGGTGGATAATGTTTTCTTTTTTTTAAAAAAAGTGTTTATTAATTTTCCAATAAAACCATCCAATTAACATATCAAATCAAATCCAATAAAAATAAAAAACTAAAATAAAAAAGTCCAATTGTCTTCCAAATTGTAATAATTTTTGTTTTGGCTTCCCATGGTCTGAATTCTGAAGCGCTTTCAACATCATAGTCCTGCCTCTCATCATCCTCAATGTTTTTCATAATTCCATATCCGATTTTTCCCCTCCACGTTTTGACTCTGGTTCTGCGATCCTCATTCATGTCAGAAAACAGATACTTTTTTTCCCTATGGAGTGCAGATTTGTCCGTTCTGTGGGTGGATAATGTTTCCATGTCTTAAGTGCACCCACAACTGCATAAGACTTTGATAGCTATACACAGCACACTTTTGCTGTGATAATTTCATTAATATATCCCAACCAAGCCTAAACCCAATATGGGCACTTGAGAGCTGACCAGACTCTTCCTTTTCCCCTTCCCTCCTTAGGACCAACACCTGGGACAGGAGGAGGCCTGTTCCTCGGTGGAATCTTCATGGTACTGCATGAGTAGACCCTGATCAGCCTGCACCTACTCATGAGTATCCAATCCAGGACACTTGCTTTTACAAATTCCCCATTTGATTTACTTACAACACCTCAGACTTTTCTACAACTAGTGTAGCATTCAGACTCAGCTGTGTTGGGAGAGAAAGATCTAAACTATTTCCACATCTCCTCCACATGCCCTTTTCTTAATGAACAAACAGCCTTAGCTGCATCCAAGTAATATGCAAATACACCCAAAGAATATGTGTAAAAAGTCGTCCCAAAGGAAGGCAAGATAGAAACAGCTATGTGTGGCTAACCTATTCATGAGGAGGTAGAACCACCATTTCATTTGAGGGTACATTATCTCTCTCCCCTGCCCCACATACATAGGCACACATATATATTGTGTGTGTGTTTGTGTGTGCATGTATACACACACATGTACTATATCATCAACCAACATAAAGAACTAAGTGCAAAGAGGTGCTCAGCAGCAGACAGAAACATCGCCTAACACAAATTTGAAATACAGGCTAGCAAAGAACACTAAACTGTGGCTGCATAAGCTGTGACTAAAGTATTACATATCTCTCCTGAATGTAGTATTATAAAAGTGCTAATAGAGAATTTACAGATGTATTCTAAATGCCAGGGAAATTTAATCAGGTTCTCTTTGAAGCAGCCACTACTTTTTAAAAGGCCATCTTTTTGAAGTTTACCCACCTCATATGGAGAATGACTAACAGGGACCTAAAATGCATTTTACACTTTGAATGTCTTGTGATTGAACAGAGTACTTGTTGCAGATAGAGAAAGATAAGAGACCTCGGGTGCAATTGTGTTTTAGAACTCTGAGCTGTTATTCATTGAGCATCTATTCATTGAATCACAGTTTATAGCCCCATCAGTGAGTACTGGCAAGTAGTTAAAGAATGTTTATCAGAAGAGAAATGGATGTTAAACCACAATTGAGCCATGAATCAAACTTTCATGGGAAGAAACAGAAAGCATCTTTTCCACGTGATTGCTAGCTGAAATGAAAGATTTAAAGTATGAGGTTTCTCTGAAGGGAGAGATTTATGGACTGGCTATTTGTGCTCTGTGGAAAAATTCTCCCACTCCTCCCCCCCCCCCCCGTCATTCTCCATCAATTAATGAGAAAAGAACCTGTAATGTGAAAATGATCAAAGGAGAAAGGAAATGTTGGTGAAATTCTTGTGGGTGGAGTGAGAGGCTTTTTTGTGTGCTTGCCTTTTGTGGTTTGCTGAAAGGTGGAAACCTGTCAATTATCCAATTAAGAAGAAAATAAATTGCACTTGAAAGCAATCAAAGGAGACAGAAAATTTCAGTGAAATCCTCATAGGTGGGTTGCAGGGTGTTTTATGTGCTTACATTTGTGGATGCAAAGAAATATTTGTGAGTGTCCTTCCTTTCATTCTGCAAATCAGCTATCCATTGGTCTGTACTCTGAAGCCTTACTTGGTTGCCTGTGCTTCAATCAGTGTCCTGGGGAAACATCATGATGCATCACCTTCTAAGGCGGACTTTTTCGATCAGGGAGTACAGGGTGCTACTGAGAGCTGGAAAGATGTTTAATAGAAAGAAAGAAAACCACACATCACCCCTGGCTACCTTGCAATGATAAGGTGAGGTCAGCACCCATACCCATGTAGTAATAATAATAATAATAATAATAATAATAAATTAATAATATGCCCTGGAAAAAAGACAGGAAAATAGAATCCTCTTTGATGGCAGTGGAAAACTCAAGAACTTGTAAAATAGATTTTGTCACAGCTCTGCTGATTGTGACGATGATTTTGCTTAGACCTGACTTCGAAATGTCTGCCTTGTTGATGATTTGCCAAAAGCAATCATGAGAAATACCTTGTCTGAAATTAGAGAGGGTTTGTGGCCGTTTGTTTTCCAGGGTTGGGGTGGTTACATTGTGATAATTCATGGAAAAAAGAAAAGTCTGTTTGCCACCAGAGCCTAAAATAAAGAATCTAGACAGATCATGTTGTTGAGTTAATAAAACACGAACTGATTCCATATTTTATTAACTTAACACTATGATCTGCAGCGATCAATTTCTGTAGGAGAAGCTCACTCTTAGGAGACCCCAGCCAACCAGCCTGTGTGACGGATTCAAAAATGTACTTATGTGATTGTTCCATCAGCTTGCTAGAGGAAATGGCCACACCCCTCTCCTCGCCTGCTTGCCTGTTCTGGGGTTCTCCTACCCACTCCTGAGCGAATTTTGGGGGTGCGGGGGAGATGAGATGGGGCAAATCCCTCCTTGCAAGGGGAAGCCCTTACTCAGGGCCTCTACTGATGGGAATCACTCATTGAATCCCACTCTGTGTTTATTTGGATGAGCCAGCCCCTGACCATGGAGGGAGGTTCCTTTCCCTAAACATCTTCTTTTGAGTCAGCCTTTCTGAGCAGCCCCACTTCTCTGAGTGGATGTCTGAGTCCCAAGGGTGATCCATATCCTGCCCACAGGTTTCACAACAACCCTGTTCACCTTCAGAGGTGCCTAAGGGACCTTCACCTAGCATCACCCTTACCTGACATAAGGTGTGAAGATGCAGACATGGACATATCCAAATGTGTTGTTCTGATTTTTGCCAGAGCTTTCTGGAGGGAAAATGCCCACAGAATGGTTCCGTTTTAAAGCACACTTAACATGCAAAACATATAGGAAGGAAAATTGAAATGCCACTTTACTGAGAAAACACTATAAGCAAGGAGGAAACTGGTGCTGACCAGAGATAATGCATAATGTAAAAGGGGAACAAAATGCAGAAACATCAATAAAGGTCATTTGTGGTATGAAGAAAATATCCATAGATTTCAGCCATGTGAGGTTTATGAACAGGAGCCCTCTTTTAGGCTTCACAGAGAACCAGCACAGATTTATTTGGGATAAAAATAGGATGACACAAACACAGCAAAATGTCAGGCTTAATTTAAAATGAATCAGCATTTCTGAACAGTATGAATTCAAAGAATGATAGAATCAACAATTTGGAAGGGACCATGATGATCAACTAGTCCAACTCACTGCAATGCAAGAATATTTTACGCAACATGGGGCTTGAACCCAAGACCCTGAGATTAAGAGCCTCATGCTCTTCCAACTGAGGTAACCTTCAGGGATGATATTATTTGCTGTTGCGGGGGGAGATTAAGTAAATGTAATGTATATACAAAAGAAATAACGGCAAACTTCTCTAAAACAGTCCCATCAGAAGTGGAAAATACTGGGTGGCATAGATAATTCCAGTTTAGTTTTAGAGCTTTGTTAACTTTGTGGCTCCCTTGAGTGAAAACCATTATATTGGTGGCTCCTTTTTCTCCCAGGGTTTAGCTATAGAATATTTCTTTACAGCTATTATTTCTTGATCTAGGGTACTTCTGGATCCACTACTGTGGCCTTGGTGGCATGAAGTGCCTTCCATCACCTTCAACAGGTAGCCCAGCTGCACCCCTACCTGGACAGGGGTACCCCCACTTCTGCTCTGGTAACCATAAATCATCTGGATCACCAATTTGAGAGCCAGTGTGGTGTAGTGGTTAAGAGCGGTAGTCTCGTAATCTGGGGAACCGGGTTCGCGTCTCCGCTCCTCCACATGCAGCTGCTGGGTGACCTTGGGCCAGTCACACTTCTTTGAAGTCTCTCAGCTCCACTCACCTCACAGAGTGTTTGTTGTGGGGGAGGAAGGGAAAGGAGAATGTTAGCCGCTTTGAGACTCCTGAAGGGGAGTGAAAGGCGGGATATCAAATCCAAACTCTTCTTCTTCTTCTTCTAGGAAGCTGACGCTGAATGACTTAAGATCAAGGGTGTTAAATAACTGATTTTGGTAACTATGTGTCAATCAAAGATTAACAATTAAAAGAATTAACAAAAAATAATGAGAGAAGGAGAAAAACAGAAACTTACGTTCAAATGCAAAATCAGAGGACATACCAATTTTCTGCTTGCAAAGCAACAAACCATCTCCAATACTGTGAATGGAGAAAGAATTCATCTTAGGCTGCAGACTTCAGAATACCTATCAGGAAGTAAATCCTACTGAATTAAGTTGAACATACTTCTGAGCACAGTTATTTTGGATCAGCTGGAAGAACTTGAGAGCTTGCTGAAATAGAGATAAAGGATTGATCCTATGAATTGAAGATGCTGGTGCCTTTAATGGAAAGAAGGGAGATGGACAGATGACATTGGAACAAAACCTAGTGTATCTTAATCCCCAGGAAGCATCTGTAGCCACAAGTCATTTCCAGTGATCATTTCATCATTTCAGGTGTATAGTGTGGCCCTCCACATTCAGGTTTAAGGTGCAGAAATCACAGGCCCAACATCTTCACCCACCATGGTGAGGCAAATGTCAGGGTTACATCAGGACCTGGTGCATTGTGGGGGAACGAAGAGGGTGACACTGTTGCTGGAGAATAAGGTTACCAATACTTACTCGTTTTGATGGGTGTATGCTAATTCCAAGGTCAGAGGCATAATATATCTGAATACCACTTGCTTCCAGGGAACAGCAGTGCATGGGGGCTACTGCCCTTACATCCAGCTTGTGGGCTTCCCACAAGCATATGGTTGTCGGCTGTGGAAAACAAGATGCTAGACTAGGCAGCCCTTTGACTTAATCCAGCACAACAACTCTGTTCTCTTCATAAAGGGACCCTTGACCATTAGGTCCAGTCACGGACAACTCTGGGGTTGCGGCATTCACTTTATTGGCTGAGGGAGCCGGCATACAGCTTCCAGGTCATGTGGCCAGCATGACTAAGCCACTTCTGTTTACCTTCGCTGTTTACCTTCCTGCTGGAGCGGTACCTATTTATCTACTTGCACTTTGTGCTTTTGAACTGCTAGGTTGGCAGGAGCTGGGACAGAGCAATGGGAGCTCACCCCATTGCAGGGATTCGAACCACTGACCTTCTGGTTGGCAAGCCCTAGACTCTGTGGTTTAACCCACAGCACCACCCATGTCCCTTTTTCTCTTCATAGTCATCTCCATTACTCTGTCCCCTGGGACCATACCAAACCAAAAGAGATTCAAATTCACATTTTACATTGACATCAGAATATGTTTTGTACATAGTGAGAAAGCAAGTGGATGAGCCTGCCCTAAAACACTCATTAACTGATATTATAATTTTGGCTGATGGTCAAAGTAGACCTGTCACCAATTTTCACCATCTTTTCAGCAACATCAGAGGAGCAAGATAAGGTTTTCACCCAGTAAAAGAACCTGAAGACTCTCAAAAGGAAAGAGCTTTCACAAGGTTAAGAAAATTGCTTAGGTAAAGTGAAATAATTCTGATAAGATTAGTATAATCTCCTACACAAACTTTAGATAAGTCTCAGTGAAATTGTGGGGGATTCCCCACTCCCATGTCCATAGGGTGTGCAATATTCATTGCTGAAAATGTGTTGGATAACACAGGAATACTTTAAAAATCAAGATATCAATTTCACTTCCTGTTTCTGACTGTTGAATCTTCTTTTGATTTCCATTCCAGCCAATATGGACACCTAAACTGTCACCAGTGGTTTCCCTGGCCTCTTTAAAGATGATCTCATTAGGAAAATGAAATTGGCCTTAATTATATTAATGATAATAGCTGTGAACTGTGCACAATTAATTCTGTCACTGTACATATCTGTAATATTAACTGATCACTCCTCTGCTGGGTAAGTGGGTATTAATTAGGGGAAAGAAACAACTCAGTCTGAAACCATCTATGACAAATTCCATGCAACAATGCTACTTCAGTGGGTTTGTTTTTCTGTAGTAAAATATTTACTGGTCAATGTAAATTGTAGGAAAAATATATTTGGTTGTGGCTAGATTAGTACTAAAAGGACTTTCGTTTATTCCCTCTGCATGACTTTAAATGTAAGCTAGGCTGCAGTCATATAAACAGTTACCTGGAATCGTAGTGCAATCCTGACCATATCTCCACAGAAAGAAGTCCTATTGGATTCAATAGAGCTTACTCCAAGGTAAGAGGGTTTAGAATACCACAGTATGCAATTACAGTACCTATATTGTATCTAATTTCTATCCTACCCTTTTGCCAAGGGTCTCTGAACACCATAGTTTAGATTATCTCATTTTAATCTCACAAGTGCCCTATGTGAGGTTGATTAGCCCAAAATATGCCTGTCCCAAGATCATTTGGGGGAGCATCATGGCTGAGTGTGAGTTTAAACCCAGATCTCGCCAAGCTAAATTCAAACCTTCTGCTACATCACAATGGCTCCATTATTATCTGTTTTATTTTGTTTGGTCTATTTATAATTGCAAAGAACAATTCTCTTTCAATTTGAGAAAATCTGGCATTGGGCCCTTAAAAATTCTTTTATGTAGCTTTTTTAAGAAATGTGAGTGCACATCAAGGAAAATTCAGTGGGCTGGTTACGAATGCTCTAATAGTTTACATTGCCTTCTCTGTCAGAACCTGAGGGGAAGTGTATCAATTTGTGAATGACTAATGTCATTCTTCCGCATATACCCTCTCTTGTCAGAGTTCATTTATGTCGAAAGGGAGGAAAACACTAACAAAGTTTCACAATGCATAATTTTTCTGCCTGAAAAAGGAGAGAAGTTTCACACAAGGAGTGACATGCTTTATTGAGGTATTAATATTGAAACACACAGGCCGCATGATATATGTATATATTGCTTGGATAAATCACCCAAACAATCTGCATTCCATGAGACACTTTTATTGGGTCTTTTGGAAGGTGTCAGCATAAACATTCTGGATCAAATGATAATGTCACTGTGCTCCTTGTGTGCGGCGGTTTCTAAAACTGGTTTGGCACCCTGTACCCCCCCTGAAGCAATCTGAGTCTTAAGGCAACCACCATTTATAACTTTTCAATGAAGGAATATGCTGCTAAAGTATTGAAATCTTTGGGATGTGGCCAGGATAAATACACCCCTTGGAATGGGATGGAGAATGGGATGGGAGCCAGTGTGGTGTAGTGGTTAAGAGCAGTAGACTCGTAATCTGGTGAACCGGGTTCACCTCCCCGCTCCTCCACATGCAACTGCTGGGTGACCTTGGGCTAGTCATACTTCTCTGAAGTCTCTCAGCCCCACTCACCTCACAGAGTGTTTGTTGTGGGGGAGGAAGGGAAAGGAGAATGTTAGCCACTTTGAGACTCCTTTGGGTAGTGATAAAGCGGGATATCAAATCCAAACTCTTCTTCTCTCTTCTTCTTCTTGCCTATCTGTAAACCACTGTGTATGTAAATATTTTGCTGCTAGTCAAAAGGGAGGGAGGGAGGGAGGTAAATAAAGAGAGAGAGAGAGAGAGAGAGAGAGAGAGAGAGAGAGATTGTACTAATCAGGGGTCAGCAACCTTTCTCAGTAGTGGGCCCATGCACAGTCCCTCAGACCATGTGGTGGGCCAGACTATATTTTGAAAGGGAAAAAAATGAACAAATTTCTATGCCCCACAAATAATCCAGAGATGCATTTTAAATAAAAGGACACATTCTACTCATGTAAAAACACGCTGATTCCTGGACCGTCCGTGGGCCGGATTGAGAAGGCGATTGGGCCAGATCAGGCCCCCGGCCTTAGGTTGCCTACCGCTGGTAGTAATCCTATTTTAAAAGCCAGACCAACTAAGCGGAGGGTGCGGAATGGTTGCGATGTTTGCAGGAGAACTGTGGTGTATGTGTTTAAACCTCCCCTACCAAAGGCTGCAGAGGTTTGCCTTGACACATTCATGCTGCCCTTGTGTGCTCATTGAAACCTACCAGCATTCAGGGGTCCTAGGTCACTGGGTGGCCATTGGGCTGAAGGGAAACAGGCAGCTTGCCACTTTCTTCTTTTGGGGGCCCAAATAAGGAGGCAGGGTGACGTTGTGGCACCCCATGAATCCTCTGATTGGATAATTTAAACTGTAACAGGGGCACATTTCCTTGAAACTTAAGGAATCACAGAGAAGGGTGAAATGGAAGTTGTGTTACTAAGACAATTCCCTTTGATTCATTAGAATTACAATACTCCAAAAACCCCATGATAGATATAACACACCTTTCCCATATTTACTCCTGTTTAATGCAGTTGCCTGATTTTCTGCTCCCTCCCATTTTGCAGATTTTCATGATGAAATACGG